TCAACAAATCATTTCCAGGATCTCTTTCTCTTAAAATTGGTGTATAGATCACATGTGAAGGCTTATGCTTTAGTTCATTTTCAATTATTTAATAAGATTCAATACATCTAAATTTCTGTTATTTATTACCTTTTAAAATCACTTGAATAGACATAATCAAACCTGATTGATGATAATTTTCTACCAATGTTTTTTGATTGTACTTTTCCTAATCCACTCAATCCATATTCATTCATTCCAGATACAATTTTTAAACTCTGATATAATGATTGTCCATGTCTTATCAAAAATATTCGAATCATAAATTTTGTATTTATTTTAATATTTATTTATACGGTAAATATTATTCATTACTTCTTTGGTGGAGGAGGTGGTCCTCTTCTTTGTGGAGCTGGAGGAGGAGGAACTCCTTTTCCTTGTTAAGTTTGTTGCTTAATCTCTTAAACAGCATTTTGCTATGCTCTTTAATTCAATATTTATTATTAATTATTTTATTATTACTACTCTTGTTGCCACTATTATTATTAAGCTATTTATTGCTAATGTTATTATTATTAAAAAGGCTACTAAGGTAATGTTTATTACTAATTCGATTAAAATTATTATGGTTAAGGAGGAGGAGGAGGTGGTGCTACATGATGTTTAGGAGGAGGTTAAGTAGGTGGAACAGTTTAAGGCTATTATTCTTATCTAAATGGTTCTTAAACAAAAGGTGGAGGCTATATATTTTATGGTTCTTATTTCTTAGGTTAATTTGGTGGAGGAGCAGTTTTCACTGGTGGAGCAGGTTTCTGCACTTGTCTTCTATTTGGAGGAGGTACTCTAAATAATAAATTATTAATTTACGGATCATCTACAACTTTTGCAACATTTGGACCGAAAGGATTATTCATTGCAGCTGCATTTGAATTAGGATTTTATTACACTTACTATCTTACATTATGATCTTCTTAATGTTAATGTTAATTCACAGCTGGTCTTGTAGGTCTGGATACAGGCTAATTTGGAGCATGAACAGGTTAGGCTTATGTTTATTTAACTATTCCCATTTTAATTTATTCATATTTGAATGGGAAAGCTGGCTTCTCCATGATTTTTTGAATAATATTTCTATCTTTATGATTTCCTTTGTAGAGTAGGTCTAATAATTCTAGGGCTCTCTAACAATCAGGAGAGGAAAAATTGAGAGCATAAGCAGCTGATAAATATTAGTTATGCTAAATTGCATAATTTGCAAATTTTAAAATTAAACCATCAAAAAGGCGATCAAATACATCACTTTCTGAGAGAGAGTATTCTTGAATCACAATTAAGAGCTTTATTGCTTCTGTTAATTCTTTTAATGAATTATTATGATTAACTAATATCTTTATGCATTTTTCGCCATTCATAGCTAGAATATAACATTAAAGAGCATTGAATTCATCTTTTCTTTCAGCAATAAATCTATCTCCTACTTATTCCATAATTTTATGGAATTATCCTGTATTATCACTATTTAAAACCATAGCAGCACATTCTTTCCAAGTATTTAATTCATAATTTTTGGCAATTTCATCTGGGTGTTTTAGTACAATATGTTTTAATACATTTTTTAAAAAGTAGTCAGTTTATGTTGTTAGAAAAGTATTCATAGTTTATTCAAATATTTCTTTACTTTGAGAATAAGCTAATAAAAGAGCTTCAGCTGATCTACCACATTTCAAAGCACAATCAATAGCTCCTTCATAATTACCTACAATTAAATTATCTTTAATTATTTTTTCAACTCCAACATTCCAATTAGTATTTTTTGACACTTATTCAGATTAAAAGATTTCCACATCTTAATTTCTACTTGTATTAGTTTATTATTATTTGTTTAGTGATTGATTAGTTAAATCATTAAAAAATGAATCTGCATCTTAATCAGTAATTGTAGCAAAATCAATTGCAGGTCTTTAAGGAACTTAATTCTTTTTTTTATTTTGATCATCTTTCTTAGCATGTCTCTTTCCAGTGTAGTTTTCAGTTTATTATGTAATTTCTTACACTGAAAATCCCAAAGTTGCTAAATATTCTTTTTTATCTTCTTTTTAAACTGAGTTTATTAATTTCCAATATTAAGTATATTATTAATCATGCTATTTTTCCATTTCTAATTAAATTCTATTTTATTCTGCATCAACTGAACAAAATGCATTAAAACTTTCAAAAATATTATCTGGATCAGATTTACCAATTTAATATGTTTATATAGCAGAATTATTTTCTTTAAAACTTGCCAATTAATCAAATGCATAAGCTGAACCAACAGGAGGTTTTAACCATTTTGGAGCGTATCCTTCCTTACCACTAGGTAAACTTCTGATACTTGTTTGACCATCTACACTTGAAATTGAATATACTGATGTAACTCTTTTACTCCATTTTAAATCTGCTATTTCAAAGTCCAATTATTCTTAACTTACAACTGATTAAGTCTTGTAATTCCAACATACTACTTGTCCATCTCTACCTCCTGTCAATAATAAGGAATGGTCATTTGGACACCAAGATAGACTGTTTATTCCAGATCTATGCACTTAACTAAAAACAATAGATGGTCCTTATGGATTTCTTAAATCCCAAATCTATAATTCTGGTGCTCTTTCATCATCATATGCAACTGCTATTTGAGTTGGAATTTCTGGATTCCACAATAGACTAACTTTTTTATTGCTAACAGCACTGCTATCCTAAAAACTAAATATTGGTTTATTATTTCTCAAATCCCAAACTCCTGTTAAACCATTTTAGGATGCAGATGCTAAAATGTGTAATATTTTTTTATTCCAAGAAACAGCTGTAATTGAACTATCTTCATGAAGATTAGGATTTCCAGGGCCAAATACTGAAGGATTTTAAATATCTTTGACGATATCAGCAATCTAGGATATATAATTATTTATTACTAACACATCTTAACCTCCTAAAGCAATTAAATTTGGCTTAAACTCATTAAATTCAATAGCAGTCACTGGTCCCTCATACAATTAATCAATAATAGAAACACAGCTCTCTTCCTCTTAATTGATTGCTGAGTTTGCATCATAAAGTGCCACGTAACCTTCTGTTGTTCCTGCAGCTACTAAACCCATCGGATAAGTTTCAGGAGCAAAATTTTCCCAAGCCAAACACGATACTGCATCTTTACTTGTAACTGTGCCAATAATAGATGTTGACGTGTTCTTCTATCCGAGGTTAAATGAATTGAATTATAATTAAGAGCTTTAGTTATACATAATTGAAATTACCCCCATTAATCATTTACTGCTGTAACTAACAGATTTGATTGTGACTTTAAATTAGACCATACAGACATGTTTCCTTAGGTTGTCTTTAATAACATTTTTAATAATTTATTTATTAATTTTTTTAATTAATACCTAAATTAAATTGCTTAAACAATAAAATTAATATTCAAAGGATAGGCACTCATTTACTATTCAACACTTATTATAATATGATTCCAGCAGATACACTAACATTTAATGAATCAACTAAAGTTTCTGGGAAAGTATGTCGACTACTCATTATATTTACTATGGTATCACATTACTTGAATAATTCTGTTCTAATCCCTGAACTTTCAGATCCAAAAATTATGATTTTTTTTTGTTTTTTTTAATCCTTCTAGAACTCTTCTATTGGAATCTCACAAATTATGATCAATTTTATACACTATTGCTTTCAAAACCACTTCCTATAACCTAAAATTCATGTTTCCTTTGTTTTACAAAAGTGGCCAAATTATCAGTTTCAAAGATATTCATCAATTCAAGAGCACCTGCACTTGTTTTGCTTACTGTAGGAGATAATGGGCACTAACCTTTCTTTTCAACAATAACAGTGTTAATTCCTAAAAAGAAACAAACTCTCAAAATTGCTCCAAAATTTTAAGGATCTTAAACTGAATCCAATAAAACAAAATTGGATTCATCAGATAATTGATTACAATAATTTAATTTTGAACATTTCAAAATAACATTTTAATGGTGGTCATTGCTGCAATATCTTTCTAATTTATTCTAAACTTAATAGATTTTATTAAATACTTTTGGAATCATTTACACATCTAATTTTAATGATTATGCTCTATTAAGGATATTTGAGATTCTTGGATTGATATAATCATCTCTAAATTTATGATAGTAGAATACTTTATTATGTTTAATTTACATAAAGCTATGTAAACTATCTTTTGTTGGCATATAATGCAGACATAACAGGATTGATGCCATATAAATAATCATATGATTTCTAAGACGAAAATCTTGATCCTAACTTTAAAATATACATATAATAATTTAAAATTTATTTATGCCTTTGTATGAATTAATCGCAATTTGCAGATGCTCCTAGGCATAAGGTACAGCTGCTGCCATTAGATAACTGTCAGTCTTGATTTTCTAAGGAGGTAATATCATACATTGAAATAAAATAGGAGGAAATATTAGAAATGTGAGAATATTAGGGGATAGAATCATGAGTAAATAAATTATAGGAAATGATGGATTTAGACATATGATAGGGAGATATGTTTCAATTTTATATGATGGTCATCCAAGCAAGTTTAGAAATGTGTTAAAAGGAGGAGAAAAGTCCTTTGAAATATTTAGATTATAGCATTTTCGAATTAAGGACTTTATTCCAGAGGCAGTAGGATTTACAAAGCCATTTGAAGAAGAGGCTCCTTTTGTGAAGAACAATAGTGTTCAATCTTATGAATATGGAAGAGCATTGCAAATATTAAGAGAAGAAAAGTAAAAATTATCCTGAGTATTATAAAAATATTTCATTAAATTATTAAATGCTATTCTTATTGTTACTACCATTACTTTCTTATAGCTTGAATACAAAAGTCAAATGCATCATAGATCCTTTGACTAATGCTTGCGATCATTTAACTATTTATTTCAATCCAACATATCCAATAAGAATCAATTCACTAATCTANATTGGAATCTCACAAATTATGATCAATTTTATACACTATTGCTTTCAAAACCACTTCCTATAACCTAAAATTCATGTTTCCTTTGTTTTACAAAAGTGGCCAAATTATCAGTTTCAAAGATATTCATCAATTCAAGAGCACCTGCACTTGTTTTGCTTACTGTAGGAGATAATGGGCACTAACCTTTCTTTTCAACAATAACAGTGTTAATTCCTAAAAAGAAACAAACTCTCAAAATTGCTCCAAAATTTTAAGGATCTTAAACTGAATCCAATAAAACAAAATTGGATTCATCAGATAATTGATTACAATAATTTAATTTTGAACATTTCAAAATAACATTTTAATGGTGGTCATTGCTGCAATATCTTTCTAATTTATTCTAAACTTAATAGATTTTATTAAATACTTTTGGAATCATTTACACATCTAATTTTAATGATTATGCTCTATTAAGGATATTTGAGATTCTTGGATTGATATAATCATCTCTAAATTTATGATAGTAGAATACTTTATTATGTTTAATTTACATAAAGCTATGTAAACTATCTTTTGTTGGCATATAATGCAGACATAACAGGATTGATGCCATATAAATAATCATATGATTTCTAAGACGAAAATCTTGATCCTAACTTTAAAATATACATATAATAATTTAAAATTTATTTATGCCTTTGTATGAATTAATCGCAATTTGCAGATGCTCCTAGGCATAAGGTACAGCTGCTGCCATTAGATAACTGTCAGTCTTGATTTTCTAAGGAGGTAATATCATACATTGAAATAAAATAGGAGGAAATATTAGAAATGTGAGAATATTAGGGGATAGAATCATGAGTAAATAAATTATAGGAAATGATGGATTTAGACATATGATAGGGAGATATGTTTCAATTTTATATGATGGTCATCCAAGCAAGTTTAGAAATGTGTTAAAAGGAGGAGAAAAGTCCTTTGAAATATTTAGATTATAGCATTTTCGAATTAAGGACTTTATTCCAGAGGCAGTAGGATTTACAAAGCCATTTGAAGAAGAGGCTCCTTTTGTGAAGAACAATAGTGTTCAATCTTATGAATATGGAAGAGCATTGCAAATATTAAGAGAAGAAAAGTAAAAATTATCCTGAGTATTATAAAAATATTTCATTAAATTATTAAATGCTATTCTTATTGTTACTACCATTACTTTCTTATAGCTTGAATACAAAAGTCAAATGCATCATAGATCCTTTGACTAATGCTTGCGATCATTTAACTATTTATTTCAATCCAACATATCCAATAAGAATCAATTCACTAATCTAATTAACATTGCCTTTCATCATTTAAGGTTAAGAATAACTTCTTCTTACATCCTTTGACGGTATAAATTAATAATAATTAAGAGTCAACTGTTGCCTTATTAACATTAACAGGAAGTACACATTTTACAGTGACTTAAATATTACCTGAAAATTAATGGTATAAATGTAATTTAACATTGACAACAGTCTTATCTAAGAAATAGAAAGGAATCGGATAATTCTAAATGAATATTGTAGTATCATAATACTCAAACACTTTAATTTTAGAAAAAGGTCCTTAAATTCCTCTTACATATTCAGTCATCAACTAAATTTATACTCCACCATCTATAATTCCAATACCAACAGTAATTCCATCCCCTTCAGGTACTTTGTGTGTAACTTCTGATTGGGGATTTGTTTTAAATAAGAATATTATCAGATAGCAATAATCCATGACGTTCACTCTCAGTTATGATGCGACCAATGATAGACTTGATGTGATCCTAACTATGGTTGACCTAAATAGTGGATTCATATTTCATAGAGAATGTTATTTTTCAGGACCTTAAGTAGAAAAATTTACTACTGAATGTACATTGAAATAAACAGGATCGAAACTTATATTTCAATTAAGGAGTCAAAATTCAGTACTTTTAACATAATAAACTGAATATCTACTTGAATTTTTTATATCTCATTAAGGAGATACAATTGCTGCTAGCACATTTACTGTAGAAATTTTTCATGATACTCAGTTGATTGATTAATGCTCATCATCTAAAACATTTTTAATTGATGAAACTGATCTACCTGTTTCTTTAAATTAAATAACCGAAGTGGAATTATATTTAGATACACCTAGTATTGGTGTACCAACATTTATGGGTGTGGCATTTAGACCCAAAAATATATAAATAGATACTCTTATTAAAATTGAATTAGGATTCTTAAGTTATGATTAATTAAATTGTTAAGTATTTTAACTTGAAATAGATACATTTATGCCTTCATTGTCATTTTCACATTATTCCTATGATTCTTAAAATCTGTATTTTTATTCAAACAAAAATAAACCTGATCAAATTTAATATAAATATAGTGTTAATTGTACTGGAATTACAATATTATAGACTACTAATAAAATATTTAGAGTTGTATATGAGGATCTATATCATACAATAATTTAATATTTTTAAACCAGATAACCTTAAAGATTACCGACTGATTCTTAAAGTTAATCAGCATCCTTAAAAATTGTGAAAAATATAGAATTGATATCCAAGAAATTTAATAATCCTTTAGTAAGTAGTATAATAACAATCAAAATTATTCCTATTTATGGAATTTATAGAGTACTAATAGAATTTCCATCTTCTTACACCACAAATATTATTAAATGTGTAATAAATGAAACATCTTCTGTATTTTGCAATTAAGATTCTCTTAATCCAAATAGATTGATAGTTTATTTAACAAAGTATCATGATAGTGAATTAATTAAAGATCCATTTAATGTTACTATTTATGGAATGATTAACCCATATTAATTAAAATACAATAGCCGAATATGTGTAATGTTAGATGATGATAATATATTAACACCATTATTATTTGGAAATGAAAATTATTTAAATGGTATTACATAATATGAATATCTTGATGATTATATAAATACCAATATTTACAAATAATTACCAACTAGTGATTTTAAATTCTCCTAATCTTTAGCTAGAGTTTATGATTTATATTTAATAGGGAATATTACTTTTTCAATGGGAAGTATTAATGAAATAAATAAATTATATTTGCGTATATCAGATTAATATACAATATATGATTTGAATTGTTAACTAATAAAAGTTGGGGATTAGCAATTAAATAATTATATTAGTTCATGCAATTAAAATTAAAATTACATAGAGATGAATCTAATTACAGATACAGGTAATATAAGATTTAGTCAATAATATTATTTAAATATATCAAATTTCAGAACCTAAGATTTAATTTCAATAGAATAATATGCTGCTTTGTAGCCTATGATACAACTCTTTTTAGCTTAAGACGACAATATAATTTCTTTAGAAAACTAAGTCAATGGATCATTTGTAATGAAAACTTAAAAAATTCCATTCTATTGGTACAATCGAAATGCAGATGGAGAATTTAATAGATTAGAGGTACAACCAGGATTTGAGGATACAAAAACATACAAAATATATCTTAATCATTTTGGGCTCTAAAGATTGTATTTAGGTTTAGCAGATGTTTCTGATAGATTTAATTGCACCATTAACTTATAATTACCAACAATTCATGAAGATATTGTTGTATTTGGTTAAAGCAGTAAATATGCCAAATAATCATTTAGTAGTCAAGCTATAACACAACCTAAATATATAGTCAAATCAATGACAGATGATACTTTCTATGAAACAATTAAAGATACTGAATTGGTAATTAATCCTGGAGATAGTGGATTTATATTTAATATTGCTTCAAAATCATTAATTAATATTAAAATTAGAGTGTAAATTAATTATACTATTTCATTTCCTGGGCGTAATTCATGGAATCCAATTTATTATTATAATCCATTTACTGAAATTCCTGTATTACATTTAGAAATTATTAATAAAGGCTGTGAACTAATCCCACAAAAATCTACATATGATTTACCTGTAAATGGTTATACACATCCCATAATAATTGATGCATCCGAATGTATTCCTGTTGTTGATACCAAACTCAATGTTACAATTTAAGACAACAATAAATTATAATTAGTTCCTATTTAGATGAGTATTTCAAGATATAGATTTGAACTAATTACAAGAACAACTCGAAAAGCTCCTGAATATAGTTATATTTTTTAAATCAAAGCTACTAATGAAACTATATCAGGAATAATTACTTAAGTTTTAATTAATAATATTGCAATCTCCATTTCTGCAATATTATAGTATACAGAATACCCAAAAGCATCTCCCTTGAAGGGATTATACAGTTAAAGTTCAAACACTATTTCTTTATCAATGACATGTTCTTAGCCTTCTGAAATTTTACTTGTAATCGGAATCGATGAAATAACAGATGAATCATTTGAAAAATTAAGATCTAATTCCATTTCTAATGAACTTACTGGAGATTATGATTTATTTAAATTATAACCTGAAAATGCCACTTTGCAATAAGAGAGCAGTTATCTCTTTAAATATGAAATAATGCCTACAAATTTGATCATGGATATCTATAATAACAGGATAGGAAACTAAATTACTTATAATGATTATGATATTGTAAGCTAAGTGAATTAATCTCAAATCAAAGATAATTCTTATAAGACATTGATGAATTCTATAAGGAGAATGATGATTAATAGGTTAAGTTTACTTGACAAAACAAGTCAACTTCATTTATAAAGGATCTAATCGAAATTGAATTATTTTGATACTACTGTAACTTTTGCTCTCTCCAATTTGAAATACAATACTAAATATTCTTTTGGATATTACTGTAAAAATTTGAATGGAAATACATCAGAAATTTCAACCAATTTTCAATATATTGCTAATGAAACCACTTCGAACAATAAAACTGTAAGTAAAATGTTATAATTGAAATTTAAATAAAAAATTTCATCTTAATAGGAAAATAACATTCTCTGCGCTTTGGCATAATTTTTTTCAATTAACTATTATTAAGTACTTTCTAGAGAATGCAAATAATGTAGATTTTAAAATATCCACTACGATAAAATAAATTACACATAATATTTACAATTAGTATAAGATTTTGTTCCTTTTGAAAATAGATCTACAACAGAAAAATAAAAATATCTAGATAATTTGTACACAATGAAAATTTATTTTAATAATTATCCTTCCTCCAATGGTCAAAATTTTGATATAACTTAAAAAATTGATAAATCAATTAACCTAACAAATGAAACAATTTTGAGTATTATTAATGTCACAGATGACTTTTCACTAACCTTCAATTATGAAACTTTTTCATATTAAGAGTTGAAGCCTGCTAAAAGATCTAATGTTGAATTGGCAACATAATTAGTTCTACTAAATTATGAATTTAAAACCATTAGTTTGGATATTTCAATTAAGGCCAATCAAGATGTACTTGGAATTGTAGGATTGCATGTAAAAATTACAATTTAAACTTTAGAAAATTGAACCAATTTTTGAAAATGTGATTAAACATCCTACTGGGATCATGCTTAGAAGAGGTATTTTAAGTACTTTCAGTAATATATCTGAAGGAGTCTAATTTGCAGAATTAAATAAAAATGAAAATACAACTTTGACATTTAAGGATCTAATAGATGGTTAAAAGTATGATTTAAA